TTAAACCAAAGTAACAAATGGGAAAACAACAAATCCCAGATAAAAATTTAGAACAATCACTTCATTTGAGGAACACATACTTTAAAGTCATGTACTACTAAATTAGGGTTTGAAAACAGGCCCACTGCCTGCTTTCTTAAGTAAATTTTATTGGAATACAGGCACAGTCTATGGCTACTTTTACTAAAAGTATTGTTTGGTCCTTTACTGAAAGAATTTTTTGTTACCTCTTGCTGTACGTCAATTCTATAGCCTTTTTTACCTCTGATGAGCTATTTACACAAAAATATTTTGTGAACATATAAAAACATGTTTTCTATTTAAAATGTGTTTTTCCAATTTATACTTAAGTTTGCCTGTGCAGGATGCAATTAATTCACCAACTATAGAACTTAACCTAGTAAGGGTAAAAATATGAAAATTAGTTTTCTTTCATCCCTAATTTAACATGCATTGCCTCGATAATCTCAGGGTCTTTTGTAAATGATTTTAAATCCATATTGTAAAGATTCATAATGAATTTGTTCCTTAGATCTCTCAAGTCTCCAATCCATGCATATTTTGAAGAGTTCATCTCAGTTGCCTTTTTTTTCTGTGATAGGATTTGTCTGTTTCCTAAGATTAGTGTTCTTAAACTTAATGTTATGGTTTTTACTTCCTCATGTCGTCCTATAGACACAACYTGAGCATCGGGATTTCTAAATTAAAATAAAAATAAATTAAATGAACCCGATTTAATGACAGTAGTAGTTGAATCACACTTCGAGTCTGGACCAATGTAAAAGTGTTCTGTATTTTTCACCATTTTCCATCCTCCTGACATATCCAAAATATGAATGCTAGTATGCTCAAACACTGTGATTAAATCTTTGAGTTACATCTGCATAGTGTACACATTGCTCTGCTGACCACTAAATAGTTTTTTTTTTTCCTACTCGGATTTTCAAATATTAACTGAAAAAAACACATATGAATGAACTTTTTGGCTTCTCTCTTTTGCTTTGTGGATTAACATTTGTCTTCTCGAAATCAAACCAAATCCAATTTGTGCTCTAAGAACCTGCTTAAATCCTCCTGATAGTTTCTGAAAGCTTTCCSTGATATCCCTTAAGAACAATTTCTTTTGTTCTTTCTGTTTTGTAGGTACCTACTATCTAGTATGATTTTTGGCATTTTATTAAGTAAATTGGGTGAAAACAAACTCAAGATTTTTTCTCCCTCCAATTTTTTAAACTTCAGGGTCTACTTATAAATGAATTGATAGAGGCTTCTAAATTTTAAAAAAATTAACATAAAACTAGTGGTTATCTAGAATATCTATCTATTTGTTATGTTAATTGAAAAATATTAAATTGTGAATCAGGAAACTATGGTCTGTTCTTTTTGGATTTTAAGTTATCTTATTTGGTTTTAGATCCAAGAATCTATCTCACGAATATATACTGTGTTTTTGTAGATGAAAGAAATGACCTGCCGTGATGTTGTTAAAGAAGTTGCAAAAATGTAAGTTGGAATAACTTGTGATTTTTCTTTAAGTTTTAAGAGGCTGTTTCATTTGAAAATAATATAGTGTATAATTTTTAGAAGGTGAATGTAAAATCTTAAGATTCCACACCAAGAAGAAAATCTTTTTTTCTTCTTGTCTTAGGGATTGAACTTAGTGCCTTGCACATGTTAAACATGAACTATACCCTCKACATGAATATCCTTATTTTTCAGTAATGAATGGGGTGGGAGAGTATACCTTTTGACAAAATGAACTGTTAGGCAATAGGGTTAGGGTAGGAAGAAGTAATAGACCTTGGATATCAAATTAACAGCTTCATTTGTTAGCTCCTAACTTCTCAAAATCTCATAAAGTTCATTATTTAATCTTAAAAGATAGCCTTCAACAAAAAGCTTGCTTTTATTTTACGGTCCTGCAACTGGAATCCATATATGCTCTATTGTTGAGCTGTATACCCTTGGTCTTGCAAACTTTATAGCTAATTGCTTCTGTACATGATCTGTGAAGCTGGCTCATTTTTGATCTGCTGCTTTCTTTGTAAAAGATGTATTTCACTTTTTCAGATTCATCATAAATTTTTTTTTGAACAAGATAGGGGTACCCCCATAATCACAGGAGAATCATGAGTTCAAAGCTACCCTTAGCAACTTAGTGAGGCGAGGTCCTAAGCAAGTTATCAAGACCCTTCCTCAAAAAGTGGGGGGGGGGGGCTGGAGATGTAGCTTAGTGATTAAGTGTCCCAGGGTTCAATCCTTGATAATAACCCCTTCATACAAAACAAGGACAGCTTAAAACCTGAACGATTTATATTAAAAAGTAGCATATAAATAATTTTTAAAATAGTAAGCACAGTCAATAAACCTAGGTGGCAATTTTTTTTTAAAAAACACCCTCATAATTCTAGTTGAAAGAATGCATTTGCTATTTTAAAAATTTCATTAAAATATTGACTTTGTTGCCAGCTATTGAGATTTAAAACTTTTAATGTTTGAGATTTCACAGCACCTCCATCCCACATTACAACACAGACAAGGTCTAGTGAGTAACCTTAGTGTAATAGTGTCTTTGCTTTACATCTAAGAATATTTGCAAGGAAAAAAAAATCCCAGAAGTCTCAATTATATAATTTTAAAAAGTGTGATTTAGGGCTGGGTTCGTGACTCARTGGTAGAGCTTGAACCTAGCACTTCTGAGGTTCAATCCTCAGCACCGTATAAAAATAAAATTAACTTGTTGGCTCCTACAAATAAAAATATGTATATATCTTTTTAAAATGTGATTTAAATGATAATCTTTTCTGAACTGGTGGTTTTGTCTTCCTTGTCCACCATTCCTGCTAATGTCAGTACCCCTCCTTTAGTTCCCTCATTCAGCTTCAGTTGAGAAGCAAGCATAAGCCATTTTCTACATATTTTCACTGAATTTTACAACATTTTAATATGATATATTAAATAGCATCTTTCATGAAATCAGGCATTCTGGAAGTCAGCCCTTAGCACTATTATGTTTAGGTATAATGGTAGACATCAAGTAGCTACCCTTAATCATAAGATGCTTTCATATTATAGCAGGGCTTTAGAAGACCCTCTGAAAGTAAAGTGTGTAAAGCAGTATAAAATATAAAACAAAACTTTACACTGATACTTAATTTTTGATACTTTTCCTGTTACTTTGTTATACTACAGCGCCTTCTTGTATTGAGTTTGTGACATACTACAGTGTGAGAACCACTTTAGTGAAACATAAACTGTTACTAAATGAATGGACAAGGTGCTGAAAAATAGTAAAATAGCCAGTTAGTTGGGTTTTACTTATTTTGAGACATCATTTTATACTGAATTAAATATAATGTACAACTACCAGTACGAATGTCATTTAAAAGTTAAGATTAAACTCACAAATTCAGCAATTCACTACTATATTTTTTWWAAAAAAAGAAAGAAAGCTCAGAAAAGAAATACACCAGGTCCAGTTCAAAATTTGTTTTATGAAATGTGGTAGGATAAATGAACATCATATTTTTGAGTCAATCGTCTATTAAGTTGTGAAAAACTTGGCAAGGAAAGCATCATTTGCTAAGTCTTTATAAGTTGCTTTTTAAAATATCTGCTCAATGAAAAGAAAAAAATGAATATCCTAACAAGGAACAGAGAATGACTGCTTACTGTTTGAACCTGTTATGTTTTTTATAGTTTAGTTTTAAAACAATGTATCAAAATAACTGAATGGATTCTATAGGTATATTCATTGTTTATAAGATAGCAAGGGTTTCATTTTATCTCAATAACTGTGTAATTTGTCTTTTCTAATGTACATAATAATAGACTACAGGAAGTATATATAATTTTGTAAAATAGAGATGGGCATTCTAATTTGTACTGACTGGGTACCTGAACTTAGATGTTTGGAGGTGACCAATTGCTAATTTCTCCTTTTCTGTTCTAGAATTTACATAGTACATGATGAAGTTAAAGATAAAGCTTTTGAACTAGAGCTCAGCTGGGTTGGTGAACGTAAGTTACTTTTAGACATTTACTTATTCTAGGACAAACTTATAGTGTACTTAATTTACCTTTTTTAATATAAAGAAATCCAAAACAGAATTAACAGGTTGTTAGTTAATCAAAGGGAAAATTCTTCTTAATAATTGACTAAATTTGTGAACAGTTCATTGTTTTGAAATATCTGTTTCATGTATTACTGAGAATTCACCCATTTTTTCTACCCAGCATAGGGCTTAAAGGATAGGCTATTTTCAGAATCTAATGCTGTAAATTAATTCTCAGGATTTATAAATCATAATTTTCAATAGTTTAACTTGGGCACATTTAGTCACACATGAAAGAAACACACAAAAGTTAGTACAAAGTATCTTGTTTATTATTCTTAGTACAGTATTACAACCTTAGGTGAACAATCATACTACCTAAGGATTTGGATAAATTGTATGGTATTGTAAATCAGTATACTCATTTTTAATTCAACTGAATATATGGCTTAATTTACAGTAACTAAAGGAAGACATGAAATTGTTCCAAAAGATATAAGGGAAGAAGCAGAGAAATATGCTAAGGTGAGCTTCAGCATTAAAAACTTTACTAAGTATTTTTGGGGGGTTAAAAGTAGACAGGGTTTTCAGGACACAAAATGCTTTTCAGTTGTAYATATTCTAAAGAAGTATTCGTTGAGTGCTAATAAGTGGGACATAATGATATTAATCAAATATAAATACCATTTTTCTCTTAACAGGAATCTTTGAAGGAAGAGGATGAATCAGATGATGATAATATGTAACATTTACTTCAGCATCTATTCTGTTATAAATTTCTTTAACAGTTCCATGTAACTTTAGTCCCTGACCAGTTTTCATTAAATTTTTGACTTGTAGCCACTGAAGTTTGGTTAATATCTACTTGACACAATTGGAGAAATGATCAATGACATTCATTACATTTGCTTATTGTTAAAATACAGACTTACGCCTACTACTAAAATTCCTTAGAATACTGTAAAATGAGTCTTTGGAATAAGATGAATTCAGTCTGTTTGGTTCTTTTATACTGGTCATCAGCCAGTTTTGACTTTTAGGTGTAAGAAAGATGTTTTCAATTTTTTAGAAAGAGACTATCTGAGAAGTCAAAAAAATATTTTTGCTTTTTTCCTTTTATTGTGGTAAGTTAAGGATTTCTGTTTTGTCACTTTCTGTCTTTACAAAAATCAGAACTGTGGCCTGAAAGAATTACAAATGTGCTCTGAACAGCACTACTAAGAGCAGGAACAATCTGAACTCAGGCCAAGTATACACACCCTAAATTGAGTTCATGCCAGCATCACTCCATTCAACTGTTATTGCTTTCCTAAGAAGGTAATCTAGTCACTGAGAGTTTAGCTGCAGGGTATTGCTGGGCTTTGAGCATCTTTGTAGTTTAAATAGCATATAATTATACCTGAATATTTAACAACTCAAAACCAGTATTTTGATACCATGAATTCCATAGTATGGATTCCTGCTATATTTTACAAATCATTCTTAGCAGAAAGTGATAAGTGTTGGCCTTGGACAAATGCCCAAATAATACTAAACTGGATCTATTTTCAGACAGAAATTGACTCTCCCTCAGTCAACTAGGGCCAGTCCTAAAACTTCACTTTCTATTCTGTGGGCTTAACTGTTCTTAAATTCCTATCAGTACAGCTAATAACCCTCTATAAGAGAAGACACTGGTACTAGAGAAATATAAATTTACTGTGATACTGGATTAATCTAAACTTAATTTGATATCTATTATGAAAGAAAAATGAGAGATTTTCATTATTAATGTAGGTTTAAYGGTAGGGCCATTCTGTAATCATATCATTGAGAAATGGCAAGCCTCCAGRAAAAAAAGCTGATATGTTTTACTTTGACATGAATACAATGTTTAAGACTGAATACCTTATTGCTGTAAATCATCTTGATACTGGTACCTTAAAAAACAAAAACAAAACATAATTTTTAAAGAACAAAGTTCTGGTTTAGAGTTTCCAACATAATATATTTAGAATGTAAAATAACTTATCTGATGAGATGATCCATCTGTTTTTATTTCTGTCACTCCTAAAGGGACCTAAAAAATGAAGTCATAGGTTATTAATATGATGGAAACATTGGAATAAATTTCACAAGGTAAGCAGCAAATTAAAATGATAGCAACATTTCAAAATACTAAGAAACCAGAAGAAATCCTTAAATGAAACAGTGTTTATGTATAATATTAACTCCTAATGTTTCTCTAATTTTTAAATTTCTTACCTTTGGAAATGCAATCCAGACTTGACCTAGATTTTACTTTCCTATATCCATACTATGTGCCTAGGCTATTTCTTGACAGGTCTTTCCTAATGGCTCCCACCAAACTGCCACAAAAAGCCTTCAAAAATGATAATTAGAATTCCCCTTGCCAAAACCCCTCTTTACATGTTTCCTATTTAAATGTCAGGTTTTAAAAAACCCAAGAATACCAGTGCAGTTGCTCCTAACCCTAAGTAAAACTTTGGTTCTACCACTGAGACTATTTGTATAAATCTACAATGTCTTTAATGAAATAAGTGTATAGCCCCCCAGACTATAGGTACTTGACCTACATTTTACAAGAAGTTGTTTAAAACAACCAAAAAAAAAAAAGAAAAAATCACACTTCCTACTTTTTATGTGGTGAACAAGGAGTCAGGCATCCAAATGCTCAAGGCACATGTCTTTTAAAAAATGTTTAGTTAGGTGTAATAGGGGGGTTCATTTAGACATAGTYATACATGCATGTAATAAAATTTGCTGCATTTCAACCCTGTATTTCCACTTTCCCTGCCCTCATCCCTCTCCCGGTACATATCTTACAGAAATAATTCCTAGTAGTAAAGTACAAAGTAAGGTATAATATTTTAAAGATACTGGCTCAAAAATGTCAGTGATTTATCTGAATTTCTCAAAAACTGAAGCTCAGAAACAGTTGTAGGATCAATTCTTATACTGAAGCACAGTAATGGGATTTTTCTTGACAAAAGAAGCTGGGGGCTTCTAGCCTACTTCAGTGTAAACAAATTAATTTAAGAAAGATAGCATTATAATTAAACCTAGGATATAGTTTATAAATTGATACAGGTTTCAATCTGGCTGGCTTTGTCATTTTAATAATTGTGATTTTGGAGAATTACTAAATTTCATCTATACAGTGAGGATTTATGTACCATTTAAAAAAGCAAAAAAAAAAAGGTAGAAATTTAAACTTAAAAAGAATTAGAAGTGATCAGAAGACCAAGTATGGTTAAAACATCAATTTGCAAAGGGATTTATAAATTCAATGTAAACCTAATCTCAAGAGGCACAGAGAGCAGGAAGGGTAAAATTAATAAGCTGTTTCTAAAATTTTTATAAGAAAAGCAATTTGAAAAGTCAAAATAGTATAGAAAAAGAACACGGAGAGAAACTACCTGGCTTCAAGACTTACTATTAGGGGATGCAGCTAAGTGGTAAGTGTTTGCCTAGTATGTGTGAGATTCTGGTTTGATCTTTTAATACACCAAAGAAACAAAWATCCAGACTTAACTCTAATGCTCCAGACACAATGTTAATGGGACACAATGGAGTTCAAAATCAGATTTCAAAACTGAGTGAAAAGGCAAATCAGTGGAGAAAGGAATGATTTTTCAACAAATGATGCTAGAATACTGGGACACCTATCCACAGGATAATTCCAAAAAAATATACAAAGATCACTTATTGGTTTTAAGAAAGAATCATCCATTAAAGTTACACAATCAAAAGTTTCAAGAATGACAAAATAGGAAAAACTGAGGAAAAATACTTGCAAATCATCTAACAAAGGACTTGTGCACAGGAGATACACAGAACTTTCAAAATGACGCAACATGAAATACCCTAATTGTAAAAAAAATGGACAAGAGTCAGGCAATTCACTAAACAAGAAACATTGATGGCAAATACCTATGTGAAAAGATGCTTTTCACTATTAAGAGAAATACATATTAATTACAATGTGTTATCACTGAGCTTTAGATAGTGTACAATTAAAGACAAATCACCAAGTACTGGTGAGGATGTGAATTAACAGGAATGGTCATTGCTGCTGTAAAGTAAAATGGTATGGCTGCATTTGAAAACAGTTTGCCAATTTCTTATGAAGTTTAACACGTAACACATAACTCACTGTTCCTACTGACAGGTGTATACGTGAAATGGAAACTAAGGCTGTATGACTCATACATACTGCTTAATTACAACTGTGATATTTTGGAAAAGGCAAAACTTGCAAGGATCAGAAAAACATCAGTTTTTCATGGGGCAAGAAAAGATACTTCAAAGTATTTATGAGATTATACTTCTAGGCTTAGACTGTGGCTCAGTGGTGGAGTGCTCACCTAGCACATGGGAGGCACTGGGTTTAATCCTCAGCACGATGTAAAAATAAATAAAATAAAGGTATTGTGGCTATCTACAACTTGAAAAAATTCAAAAAAGATTTTACTTCTGTCATAAGGCTAAACAGCAGAATGAAGCAATAGGGGCAAGAGAAATGTATATAACAACTTGCTGGGTGTGGTGGCCCACACCTGTAATCCCATCGGCTCAGGAGGCTGACACAGGAGGATCTCGTTCAAAGCCAGCCCCAGCAAAAGGGAAGCACTAAGTAGTGAGACCCTGTCTCTAGATAAAATACAGAATGGTGTTGGAGATGTGGCTCAGTGGCCGAGTGCCCCTAAGTTCAATCACCTGTACMCAAGAACAGTATATAACTAGGTGAAAAAGGGGAAATTAACAGCAGATGGTTTCACGTATTTTACAACTCAACATCAACTTTCAAAAAGGGCAACACAAAGGTGTTAGGAGAATTATTTCCAACATAGGTGGATGAAGAGTTCAGGAACTGTATAATTGTTTATTTAATGGTCAGAGATTAAAAACCATCTCTTATTTTTATTTTTTGTTAACTTTACAGTTTTAAGCTTTTACTCAAAGCAGCAGCAATTTTTATTTAGAATACAACCTTTGAGAAGAATTAGTTTTACTAACATTTGAATTTAATTCTTTACTTTTTTTCAAAAGAAGGAAGTGGCTTAATTTTTCATGAAACCAGAAGGTGGAGGGAAGCATTATCTTGGTGAATATTAGTTTTCTTTCCTCTGTGAGATGCATGTCCAGTAGAAAATGCTCTGTGCATTTGTCTGTGAATGTAAAAAGCATCTCACTTTACTGATAGGTCAAGGAAGAGAAAAGTATCAATTTGGTAAAATAACAGCTTGGTTCCACCACAGTATAGCAACATTCCCTTACCTGCAACGTATAGGTTTATAGTGAAAGCATGCTCTGACATATTTTATTAACTATTAGTTCACTTCACAGGACTGAAAAAGCAACACTAATTCATTATTTCTAACTCATGTTTTATTTATTCATTACTTCAGTTACAAAAGATTCCCTGTACCAACCCCTCTTCAGTACTAGGGACTGAACCCAGGGCCTCACACAAGCTAGGCAAGCACTCTACCATTAAACTATCCTCAGCTCTTTTAAATTTCAAGACAGGGTCTCACTAAGGTGCCCAAGACTGACTTCTAAATTTTGATCCTCTTGCTTCAGCCTCCCAAGAAGTTGCAATTATAGTATGTGCCACTGTGCAAGATTCTTAAAATGGTATTACTGCAACTTTTGTACAATATATTCCACACACTCAGTGTAGTGATACATTTCTATTCTAACATTTGAATTTTAACTGTTCCCACTGTTATTTGGAATAAACTGAATGCAATTCTTCTATATTTCTAGAATAAAGTCTATTAGAGGGGCTGAGGCTGTGGCTTAGTGGTAGAGTGCTCGCCTAGCTTGTTCGAGGTGCTGGGTTCGATCCTTAGCACCACATAAAAATAAAATAAAGGTATAAAAAAATCACATCAATCTTAAAAAAAAAAGGTCTATTAGAAATGAACACAGACCCGTTCCTTCAGAGGTGACATAATTCATTCACAAACACAAACATGTTTGACACAGAAAGCAGAAAGGCAAGCCATAATACTGGCAAGTCATACACTAAAAATTTCTGACAGCAAGCAGTTTCTCTTCCTTCCTGGCAATCCTCTCTCTCATGATACAAAGCCAAATGCAGCTTTCTGACAAATGACTTTATGTGGAGACATGACGTGCCATTTTCCTCCCCCTCTTGATATTTGGATGGCTTCCAAAGAGAATTTCAGGAGACGCTTTAAACATGAAACTCAAACTAGCCTACTTTAAAATCTATTCTTTTCCCTAAATGGAAATCTGACAAAACAGGAAGTACCCAGCAGCAGAGAAGCAAGTTCTGCAGCTTTAATATTTACTGGGAACAGCCTAGTTCTTCATGACTATGTAATAAAAATGCAGAAGTTCAAAACTGGGTGGAAAACAGCAAAGTTTGTGGTAGCATACGTAATTTTAAGGCCTTACAAGCAGTATCACATGATAAATAGAGAAATAAGAAACCGCAAAAGGGCCTTTTGTTTGGCTATATTTCCTTGTATGAAAATCCCTTTCCCGGTTCCTTCTGACTAAGATATAAGCCACCAAAACTATACAAACACTGCAAACAGCGATATGGTGGCATATAAAAATTTAGAAACAGATTTTTTTGAGAATCAGTAAGAATTTTAGTTTGGTTTGAGGGAACCAATGGGGCAAAGTGAGATTTTTTTTCTTGCTTGCTGTAGCATTTGAGGTAACCCTGCATGTGAATAAATATAAACCCCTAAGTGGTCTGTTAGGATCAGCAGAGTCAATAACATATTATCAAACATACCACCAGCCAAAAAAACAAAAACAAAAACCCCTTCCTCCATGACTTATTCATGCCCTACTTTAAAGCTGTGGAAATAACTAAAGAGCAGTACAGTATACTAAAAGGCCTAAAGTACTAAACAAATATCATCATCATCTATCCTTTCCTTCTTCCCTGGCAAAAGCAAGATGAGATCCACAGGCAGTCAGGAAATGTGTGATTATCTATTAATAAGTCATGTATTAATATAATAGATCACATATTAATAAATCAGAGGAACTGGGAATAGTGACACAGGCCTA